AATTTATCTGATGCTGCATTGGATGATATTTCTGTGGGTAATGATCGATTTGAAGCTGTGACTGAAGATATTATTAACGAAATGGTCGAATATGGTGCCATTAAAAATACTAAGAAGAATACTGATAATTGGGTTCGAGTTTTAAAAGAATATCGGTCTTCAGTTAATTTAAATTATGATATATCCACAATTCTTGGTACAATATTATGATCAAATATTCTTGAATGTATTTTTAAGAATTTATAATAAATACGATATTAAATTTATTCAAATTTTAATAACTAATGATAGTTTATTTTCTAATTAAATAACGATCATATAAAATAATATTTAACGCAATTTACAAGTGTATACAAACACATAAAATACAAATAATTTGAAGTTTGACATTCTAAAAATATAACTTTGGTTTATTTCTGTCTAATCATCTGGCTTTAGTTTATTTGTTAAACCATTTGTTTGTTTTTTTGTGATGCTCTTCACTAAAATATAATGAATTAAAAATTTTGAAATTTCATAATATTTTGGTATAAAAAATGCCATGCGTGCGTTTTTAATAAATATTCTATATCTTTTTTTTTTCTTCCAGAATATTTTCATTATAGAAAAGGCTGACTGCACTCATTTTGTGGTTAATCTTTTATTTTATTATACCTCTTCATCTTTGATTAATATTTCTTTTCTATACACGAATTTTTTTAAATTGATGCGGCAGAACTCTAATTTTTGGCTTACTTCGATTGTGATAAGGAATCTTGTTGAAATAGATAAGGCACCAACTTGCCCATCGTTAAATAATTAGATTTTTTATACCTTTTTCGAAATATTCCATACTGTTAAGATGTTAGTTAATATCATCAATAATACGTTTAAAAAACTTTTCAACGGGCATTATGCTATGTAATTATTAAATAAATCTACAAAACATTTTCAACATCTTCTTTAAACGGCTTATTCCACATTTAGTTATTGCAATTTTCAACCTGATACTTATAACTTAATGAAAATATTTGCTTAAGTGTCATAGGTAGGTTTGATATATTCAAAGTTTATTTAGGTTTCAATTTGATGGTTTCTTGTAATTAACGAAATAATAGCTTGCTCACAATATTAAAAACGTGCCTGTACCATTTTTTTTTTTGCAGGAAGAAAAAACAAACGAAAAACTTATGGTAAGCCAACGCTAATGAAAATATCGATTATTGACTTTTTATGTAAGTACGCAACGTTTAACATGATGCAAACTATGTAATTTTGGTTTCTAGTTCCGAATGTTCTTATCATTGCGATCTATCTTTCCGGACGATCATCCGATCTATTTATACACTTGAAAGCTCAGATCTCCGGAATTAATCTATATTATACTTTAGCGTAATTCTTAACAACACCAAATCTGCAGCGAGGCCATCCGAATATGGAAGCGATTTTCATAATAAATTATCATTGTTTGGACCAGCATAACACGATTGATCGACCAATCAAATTACTGATTTACAAAAGTTTGGGATTCAATTGGATTCAAGAAATATGTTATAAAGAAAAGTGTGAGCTTTTATTTTCTTAAAGATTTTTTCATTTCATAGAAAGATAAGGCACATGAGCATTCAAAAAAGTATTGTAAAAAAATTCGGTTTCAGTTCTATTCACCAAATCACAATTATTGCAAATTTGAATTTTATCAGATCACGAATCACATGTTTCTGTCAGAAGGTAATCAATTCGATTAATAATATAATTAAAATATAGCAAAGGTATGTAATTAATATCAGAGCCAAACATTGTATAAAAAATATAAAAGATATAAATAATGAATAAAGCTTATTTTAAATAAATACCAATAATCGCATACATTGTAACATTTTTATAAGATAATGCAAAACATCTGATCTTTAAATTAAATATACTTAACTATTCATTGTATTAGACTTAACATATTATATTTAAACCACCCAATATAAGGTATTTAGTAAAGTAGTACTGTACGGCAATACAAATTTGGACGGACATACGAAAATTATACCAAATTTTGATCGTACGTACGGTTAATATAGACTTGCA